CGCGCGGCTGCACGTAGAGCCGTTTCTGTGACAGTTAACGCGCGGCTATGACGTACTGCGCCGGGGCACGGATCTAAAACACCGCCCCGGGTGGGATGGGGGGAGACAGCGACTCCCTCGTTAACCTGCCCACCTCGCCCGCCCCACACTGACCCCAGAGCCAGTGGCCGCTCCCGCCTCCAAAGGCCGAGGCCCCACCCCCCGCCGCCGGCAAGACCGCGCCTGCGGTCGCCATCGCCCGTCTTCTCGCGATAGCCCCGGCCCTCCCCGAGAGCTTGGCGCGTGCCGCGTCACCTCCCTCCGCGCCGCGCCGGAAGTGAGCGAGGGAGCGTGCGTGCCGGGCGCGACCGTTGGCGACGGCCGTTGTGGGGATGTCGGCCACGTGCGCCGTGTCCCGTAAAGCGCAGCCGCCGCTGCCGCCGCATCCCCCGGGCGAGAGGGACCCGCCGGCCAAGGCGATGCGCAGGGGGCTGCGGGGGGGCCACGAGGAGGAGCGGGAGCAGCGGGAGCAGCTGCCGTGGCCAGGAGAGAGCGCGGGCAGCGGCGGCGCCGAGCCCGAGCCCGAGCGGGCGGCCCCGCTCAGCGACGAGCGGCGGAGGCGGCAGCCGCAAGAACCGAGGGCACTGGCGGCGGCTGCCACGGCAGCCAGGGCGGCGGCGGAGGAGGAGCGGATGGAGCGGGAGCATTTCCGGAGGATCATCAACGCCTTCCGATACTACGGGTAACCGAGACCTGCCGCCTTGTGTGCGGGGCTCTGCGAGGGTCCTGCCCTCACCGGCCTGCTCCCGCAGCGGCCCGGGAGCTCGCCGTCCGTGCCGGCGGTCCCGCGGGGCTCCGGGCGCCCCGGCTTTCGTACCTCTTCGCTCTTCGTGCGTGCCGAGCGGCCGCCTCCCTGGGTCTGTGCGCCGTGGGGAGCGCCGTGCCTGCAGCCGGATACAGAAACCTGAGTCAGGAAAGGACCTCTGCTCCCGTTTCCTTCCTGGATACGGAAAAAGTCGTATCGGTGTCTTTGTCAGCTAGGAAGCACAAAAGAAAAAAACAGAAACAAAACAACAACAAAAACACAACACCGAACCATCTCAAAGTATGATGCACCTGCAAAGGGTGCAAAAGGCCTCATTTTATAAATAAAATGCTTCAAGAGGCTGTAAAGTACTCAGAACAGTAGTAGCTCCTGCTGGCAAATGCAAACAGTGTTTCACGGTGTTTTGATTATTGTGGAAATTTTTTAAAGATGTGTCAGTTTGCACAAGAGATTAGACCTGTCGGTAGGTCTAATGAATGTCGGGTTTTTATAGCTTTAGTTTTCTAGACATTTGTTGAAAAGGGCTTGATGGCCCTATAGGAATGGGATAAAGGGGGAAGGGGACCTAGTTTTCTGTCTGAATCCATGGGATGGATGAAGACACAAAAGTCGTGCAGATGGCAGTGAGAGGAGGACTGGCTGAAAATAACCTGTCCTCAACAGCATTTTGATAAACTGTCTTCTGAAACACTTGTCCCACAATCTGGGTTTTTTCACTTTTCATGCAATGAGTGGAAAAACACACAGAGTGAGGATACTTGTTAATTCATACCTGCACAAAAATGTGTGGTAGGTGGTAATTCCACAAAGCTAGCACCCCTTGGTTAACCCATGGTAAGCATTTGCACATTCTGAGCAGACAGTTGTCAGTACTTATTACTGATAGGTTTGGCCACCCTTGTTCTCATTGGTTCTTGTGAGGTTTTGTCTCCATTTAAAGTCACAATATCCTCTTTTAAGTGCGTGTGTTCTGTGAGAAAGGGGCTTTTCCTCCTCAGGCAAGGATTTTTACTGTTTTAATGAGGAAAGCTCACACACGGTTCAAGAAGTTACCTCCTTGGTTTCATCAGCAGCTTTTGTTCCTGTGTGCTTATCTTGGCATTTCCCTTCTTGATGGTCTTACGGTGTCATCCCTCAGTATTTCCTTGTTTTAATCACAGTGTTGCTTCTTCATGGTCACTGGCAGCTTTAACAGTTCCTTTATCCACTCCTGGCATTATTTCACAACTGCCCTTTGGTTGTATTATCAGGTAAGATACAACATTGCTCTAGATTTGGGAAGCAGCTCTGGGATGTAGTTACACTACATATTTGTATACTTAAGTTTGTCATGGTTTGAGCTCAGAGGGCAACTGAGCACCACGCAGCCCTTCAGTTCCCCCTTTTCCCCCAGCTCTGATAAGAGGAAAACAAGCCAGGCTTGGGATTCGAGATAAGACAGAGAGGGATAAATCACCCATTACAGTCACAGGCAAAAGGCAGACTTGTTAAGGGAAGTAAAAAAGAACATAGACTTATTACAGACACTAACAACAACAACACTTAAAGTAGGATGATGAGAAGCATTACCACATATTGAGAACACCTTCTGCCCACCCCTGCCTTCTTCCCGGGCTCAGTTCTGCTCCCAATATCTCTACCTCCTCCCCCAGTGACGCAGGGGCAGGGAATGGGGGGGTGCAGTCAGTGCTGCCGCTTCTTCTGTCTTCAGTGGGGGGAACTTCTGGAACTTCTCCCTGCTCCAGTGTGGTCCCCCTCTCACAGGCACAGTCTTCCACAAACTTTGTCTGGCTGGAGTCCCTCCCACAGGCTGCAGCCCTTCCTGAGCCGCTCCAACATGGGACACCCCCACATGCTGCAATCCTCCCAGCACTGAACTACAGCAGTGGGGGGCTGTTTGTTCTCATAGTGCCCCAACCTCCTTCAGGTGTGGTCACCTGACACAGCATGGTGTCTGCTCCACTGTAGACCTCCATGGGTGGAGTGGGAGATGGCCCTGTCATCTCACCACAGAATACAAGGCGGGGGGTGTCTCTGATTTGGTCCACCTCCCCCTGCTTCCTCCTCTGTTACTCCACTGACTTTGGTGTTCATGCAGCTGCCACAATTCCTCCCAGGTCCCTTCTTAAATAAGTTATCACAGAGGTGCAGCTGAATGGCTTGGCCTTGGTGGACAGATGGGGGAGGCAGGGGAGCTTCAAGAAGCTTCTTACAGGGGACCACAGTTGTAGCCCCTTCTACTACCAAAAACCCCACCACTCCAACCCAGGGCAAGTTGATAAGCTAGCATCATGTGAATCATTAGTATGTGCTGGACCCTTTTTGTTAATGTAATACGAGCATATATTTTACATGACCGGTTCTTGGAAGGAGTGGGTGATGTTTAGAGAATTTCTTCTGTTTGCTGTTTTTATATCCTATTGTTTGTTTTGTTTTCCAGGACTAGTATTTGAGCAGGAGGTTGGTGTAGATGACACTTCAGTGTCTCTTCCAAACTGAATTCTGTAATTCAATTTGGCCATACCAAAGACTATGTTAGTTACTACTATTAGTTCAACAGCCAACTGTAATTTACTTATATCAGTGATATAATTGTATCCTCAGGTCTTAAAATGTGCTAACATCTTTCTCAACCTCATTCTCAACTGTGACTCTGGGCTCCTTCTGAAAACTTCACTTTCAGTAAACACACACCCAAAACGATATGACTCAAATTTCCAGGACAGAAATGGAATTAAATTATTTCTGCCTCAAAGAAATAACTCAGAATTTAAGTGAAATGATGTATCTTGGTGGTTAAAAATAATTTAATTGGCAATTGTATGAGTAAGGCAATAACACACTTCCAGATGAGTTTAGATCAAAGTGCTTGTCTTCTGGAGGCAATTGGATTTAACTTCATTCTTTGTGTGTTGCTGTTCTGATTTCAGTGAATTATTAATTTTGCTAGAAGGTTGAAATTCAACATGAAAGGATGGAGGTTTATAGTGTAAAGATTTTTCTTCTAACAGAACTTTCAAGAAGATGATACTAGGCTAAGCTGATGTGCTTTATAGAGAGGATCACTTTATTTTTCTTACTGCTTCTTCTGTTTTTCGTTCTTCAATGTCATTGTAAACCATTCTAGCTATTGCAATGAACATGCCCTTCCTGAGAGCACATAGGTAATTTTGGAGATATTAATGGTCAAATTTCCAGACTGAGGTTGCAACTAAAATTACAGCAATTGCACCTTGCTCTCTGATGGCTAGTTTCCAACTCTGTGCTACTGTATGCTGACACAAGAGTTTGAGAAACTGCAGTATGACTTGACCTGATTAAATGATTTGCTGCTGCCAAAAGGGTCAGTATCCCTTGTCCTGGCTTTATGACCTGTCTCTCCAGGTCTTTATAACTGCTCAGCCAACTTGACTTGCTACACTGACAGAATTCAAAAGTTAAACAAGCTTTATGGCAGGCCTGGTGAGTGCTTGAACAAGGTGGTGGGAAAAACTGTTCTGGGTGACAGGAAGGAAAGGGAAAGATAAAAGCAGACCTCTTTCTCTGGGCAGTAGATTCACCTTTATTATGGAATTTTTATTTTGGGAAAGTGAAAGAGTTATTTTTAGTTTGGATCAGTTAAATGATCAAATTCCCAGTATCTCAAGGGGAATATGCTCTTAAAAGAAGGTAGCTTAGTATCTTAGTGTGGCTGCCAGGACTCTGGTAATGTCCAGCTGTGACTTTTATGGATCTTCAGAAGCAGTTGATTTTGAGGATCCCTATTCCTACTTCACATCTTGTTATTTCTGTAGCCAAAGTTTACCACAGCATTCAACTATTAATTTAAATTGGATTTTTGAAACAATCTGACTTGTTTTCACGGGTTTGCGGTCTGGTGGTTCATTAGATTTTGTAGATCCATGAATTAAGGTAGTGACCACCCATATTGGAAATGAGTGGTTGATGATGAAACTGCAAGAAAACAGTGGTCCTCTTAAACTGCAACATGTTAAAATGAGTGGTAATACAGAACTTAAGCATTTTGCTTAAAAAATTATTGAAAACTTGTTCTCTAAGGAATTACAAAGTCTGATAACTTTCTGTGTCTAATAAAATGAGTAACTGTAATCTGAATATTTTACAGTGAATTATTTATAATTAGTGTGTGTATTGCTTCTAAATATCTAAAGACCCTAAACTTTTTGCTTTTTAGAACGAATATGCATGAACGAGTGAACAGAACAGAAAGGCAGTTTAAATCTCTCCCAGCTAACCAACAGAGTCTTCTTCCTCAATTCCTTCCACACCTGGACGATATTCGAAAGTGCATTGATCATAATCAAGAGATACTACAGACCATTGTGAATGACTGCATTCATATGTTTGAAAATAAAGAATATGGAGAAGATGTATGTTAAATGGACTTTTTCATACTCCAAAATTAAATTCTGTACGCTTTGGGATTTTCTACATTAGTTTTTCACACCTTTAGGCCTCCAAGTTGCTTTCCTTTCGCCTTCTTTATTTCATTCTTTCTTACTTCCTGTTTGCTTACATTTTCTCACTCTTTCACATCTTCTAGAGCTGATGTTTAATAAAACCATTTGTTGTTAGTCCTTGTGGTTACACATATGAAAACTAACTCTGAATCTGGCAAATGACAGTAATCATTTATTGTAAAAAAGCAGTTTTTCACTCCAGAGTTGTAGCTCTACCCTGTTATTTTTTTTCAGTTAACTATGTAGACCATAAATGGTGTTGTCTCCCCTATTGTAGGTTATTTAAATCAGTTACAATTTTAGATAGACCAAGTATTTTTAATGTTCTCATCTGTAAAAACTTTTTCACTACTTACCTGCTTTTTCAGTGTGACATCTCTATCAAAAAAAATTGCACTCAGGCTTAACAAACTGTCAGAAATAAAAAGTGAAGTCCTTTTTTGGTACCTGCAGGCAAGGTACAGTAACGGGCAGCTCTGCTGTGAGCTTCTCAGTGTTGCCTCATCGGTACCTAAAGGGATCCTCTTCTCAGGGTAAACAGGTCAGCCTCTGCACTAGCTAAGCACTTGTCCTTTCCTGAATAAGGACTACCAGTTGTGCTCTGATATGCCATACTATGTACTCCATTTTGATGTGGAATATGGTCTCTTGGGTGCCAAACAGAACAGCAAACTCAGTTTGTTTAGGATTTTAGGTTGGATTTGAACCCTGGTCCCAGGAGTGAAAGGCAAGTGCTCTTTTCAGCTAGAACTCCCAGTAGCCCTTATAGCATGGCTTTTTTCTGTTTATAATTTACTTCCCCCACCCTGCCCTGCCGAAGACTAAAGCTACATTTTCCACTAACTTTTTTTTTTTTCTCCCCACTTTAATCAGGGAAGAGGGAAGATTACACCAGCTTCAACATTTGACATGGATAAATTAAAATCTACTTTGAAACAATTTGTGAGAGACTGGAGTGAAGAGGGAAAGCCTGAGAGAGATTCCTGCTACCAGCCAATCATTGCTGAAATTGTAAAGAACTTTCCAAAAGAAAGATGGTAATAGTGTTTTAAGACTTATTTTTATGTGGGTGTACGCTATTGCATGAATCTAAAAGAGTTTTTATGGAGTAAAAGCTTGGATTTGAAAATACAGAAATTATTATGAATGCAGTAGAATTAATTTTTTTAATGAAAGAAGTTTTTGTTTCTAATACAAGGTGTTGGAAAAGAGAATAATCATAAACTTCACAAAGGAATACCAGGTAAACCAGAAATATTTTTTTTTCTGCAGCTTGACGTAATGAGTTATCTGTTAACTTTTAAAATAAGAGATCTCAGGAGGTTGTGAAGGTGTTCAGGATCTTCTCCTGTTGTTCAGGATGTTGAAGAAGGTGCTCAGAAAGGTAAAGTTTGCAGGTTAGCAGATTCTCAGAGTGCATGTGCTTGCTGCAGATAAAGGGAGGGATGCTTGTGACAGCAGCAAATGTGAGTATTGCCCTTCACGGTGGAAGGAGGAAAGAGGAAAGACTTAGCCTCTAGTCCAGTTTCACTGCTCTCAGAATTTACTTAATTCTAGCCTTAGTTTCAGACAGAAGATGTTACAAGGCAAGTCTTAAAGTTTTGCTGCATGTGTAAGGGTAGCCTTGTAACTGCGTTGGCTTGCTACCACCACCAAAATAGTAATTTTTTTGGGTAATTTTAAGTAGAAATATACTGGTGGAATCTCAGAAGATATAACTGCTGTAAGAATTCCATGTTTAATGGTTCTGCCATTTAGTCAGCCCAGTCATCATAAAGTGCATTTCAGTTTAAATTTAACACTCTTCTAGTAGGAAAATTTGTGAACTTCGTACTCATACATGTAACAGGTCTGAACTTAAGTTTGATACTGTGGGTTTTCTTCCTTCTCTGTAATTGCTAATAATGCACTTGTACCGATTTGAAAGTACCTTCCACTAGCCAGCTTTTAATTTTCATTAGTAAAGACTGCTAGTGGTGGCAGAACATGGAGTAGACATGGTTAGTTGGTTTTTCTTTTGCCTTGGGCTGACTTATCTGAAGGTGGATGCACCACTAAAAATGTTTTATCTGAAGGTGAACTTTCTGCAATGGTTTTAGTGCTAATAGTGCCCTAGATAAGATAAAGATTAATGAAATACTACTTACCTAATGTAGTGCTGATGTGCAGATCTGTAGGAAAAGTCATAGTTTTGTAAGTAATCATTCTAATTTTCAAGGTAGCAGTTCACCCTTTTCTCTGTATGCTAGCTTTTAAAGCATTTTTATTATGGTAGGGGTAACATGTCAGATCTTGAGAGATACATAACTGAAGTTGGACAGTGTTGACTTTTACCACCAATGAACTCTATTTCAAAATCTCCAGTTGGTATTAGGAAGTAAGGTGTGGTAACAGTTTGGATGAATCTAAAGTTGATATGTTTATGTTACTTTACCGGGGCATTCTGTTTGTTGTTGTTTTTGTCAAACACAACTAATATGACAGTGATTCTGTCCCTGTTGTGATGGCTCTAAAATACCAGTTGGGTGTTTTAGTCTCTACAGAAATCTCAGAACAGATCAAACATCTATACTACAACTTTGAGTTTGTCAAATGAAACATTTTTTTTCATAAAATGTGTATTACATACATATTTAAAAGTTTAATATTCATGATCATTATGGAGCAGTCGTAGCACTTAGGTAAAGCCTTTTTTTGCTATGTTCACATATTATTACTTACTGTCATCAGCTTGCTATTTTTCCTAGTGATAGGAGGACTCTCCTACTTAGGTATACTTACCACTTTGAGGCAGGAAGCAGAGTTGTCCAGAAGGGCCCATTCTCTTTGTGTGTTATCAGGCTTAACTGGCAGTGCCACCTCACTCTTGTGTGAGAAGTAACTTCCCTGACAGGGCAGGCTGGCTGGTCAGTCTGGTTCCTTCTTTACAGTTTTGGAGGGGAGCAGTTGTTTCAGTTTGAACGGATGGACAGGGCCTGAACTGACCATAATGAAGTTATTGCGTCTGTTGTGTATAGTGGGTGCAAAGTCCATTTCTTCCAGAGAGGACTGGCTATGGGTGCTAAGGCATCCTGTAGATGGAACCTTTGTTAAATGCAGCTTTGCATTTCTTTAGAGTTCCCTTTTGTAGTATGGAGTGCTGAAGTCTCCCAAGATTAAATGAAAGTGCTAGAGAAAAATAGTATTGTTGGCACCGTGCGATAAAACCAGCTTTGCCTACATGTATTTTGCATTGGAAAAGATGGAGAAATAAATATTTTAAATTTAAAACTGTCAGTACAAGTCACCTTTTACTTCTTAATGATCTCAGTGGAATTGTACATTCAGTTCCTAGTTAACACTATTTGCTAATGTTATTGATTCCATGCCTTGGAATCATGTGAGAAAGAAGTTCAAATTTTTGAAACTATTCAAGTATGTTTTGCTTCATGCATGCACATGTTGTGTAGTTGCTCTATACCAGATTGGCCTGTACTGTTTCAGTTGGTAAGCAAAGAACAGGAAAAGAAATTAAGTGCTCTATACGCTCGCTCTTCTGGGAAGCAGAAATGATACAAGCTATGGTTGAGAGCAGCTGTAAATTACAACGGTCTTCTAAGTAGGTGCTACGGTTTTCTTGTGTTTAGTCCAGTTTTCTGACAAGACTGTCATCTAAAAATAAACAAAAATGGCAAAAGCTGTTTCTTACTGCCTGTTCTTCTTCATAAGTAATTCCTTCTTTCTGCTTAGCACCGTAACACAGAATCTGTTAGGAGGATAAACAAAGCAGTTTTAAGTGAAGTCCCATGACATAAGGTCTTCCAGAAGAACTGATGGATTTCCTGCATTACTCATGTTGGAATTTAATTGTGTTTCAACTCACACGGTTTCTCTAATATTGTCTACCTTTTGATGAAGCCATTTAAATTTGGATTTCTTGGGTCTGAATGAGCCATGATCACTGCCTTCTATAGAGAGGAAACTGTAAAACAGATACATTTTTATTTGTTGGTGGAATGTGTGTGTTGAAGCATTTTCATGGGGAAACATTAAGTTGAAAGTCTAAATAAGCATACCAATATATTACTTTTTTTCTAATTCCCCTTTTGTCACCTTGATTTTCTTTCACTTCTACCGTTACCTTCCGTACTTAGGTGAAAAGATGTAAAAATGATCAGCTTCTTGTCCAAAAGGAACCAAATAAATAGTTAACCTTTCACTTAATTATCATTCCATGGCTAAGAACAGTAAACTTTAGTATATTCTCTAAAGTTTTCATTTATTCATTAACTTGGCCTCTGGAACCACCTATAACTTGAAATTTAAATCTATCATGCTGTCCAGCAATTGTTTACATTTTCCAAGATACTGATAGAAGTTACTAATGCTTAGTTTCCTTTTTATTTGAAAAACATAGCTTATTAGCCCTAAGACCAAGGTTGGCTATAGTTCTTGCATGTGCTCAGATACATTTATAGTGATGATAAAATATCTGCTTTATATAAATTTTATTTAACTTTATATAAAACACATCTGTCCTTGCAGGGTTTTTAATCTTGTAAAAAATTGTACTTAGTCTAAACTTCACTTTAAATACTGGATTTAGAAGCAAAGTATTTTCTGTGTTACTGCAGTCCTCTGAAGGCATTGCAGGTCTACATGGAATTAACCTCAACTGTGAAGTTTGGAGGAGAAGTTATCTTCAAATGATCGTGCTTTTTAGCTACCTTCATTATTCAGAAAGTGGTTGTCTTTTTAAAAAAAATCCCTGAAAATACAACTACAGTAAAATAATGAAAAATACTATACTGAGAATTGGATCTATTCACTGTCTAAATTTACAAACATTACAGAGATAAGACCAGGAGAGAAGGAATTTCACAGTGTGATTGTACACTGATGTTTCCACTGATCTTCTGTATATGGGCTGTATATTTCTTACCACTACTTACCATGAGATAACATTGAGTAATTTATGAAAATGAGGTTTATGTTTGATGACACACACAAATTTTTCTATTGCTTAACTTCAGTTTACCCATTCAGCTTCATCATTTTTTTGTTAAAGCACAATAGGCATAAACTACGAAACCTCTATTTTTGTCATGTATATTTTTTCCCTTTAAAAAGGGACATCAAGTTAAAATCTTCATTAATGTCATTAAGCTTCCAGTATCTGAAAATATATTACACTGCAAAATGCAGTACAATAACGGCATGACAGATTTTAGTTGTTTCTAGTATTTCACTACTGTCTTTTTAGTAGACTGCTGCAGTTCCAGTAATTAAGCCTTGTTGCCTTCTCCCCTGCTCTTTGGCCAGCCACTTCTCCCCACACCCATCAGGTTAATAGGCCAGTGCTTCTTCCCTATTGCCTGGCAGGTTTTCAGTGGGTACTAGTTGGATGCTGATTTATGTTCCTAACCAATATTACATCTGTGTCATAGAAATTCTGCTGCTGCTGGCTAGTTCAAGGCTAGTTTCACTATGGTTATATAATCTTGGGTTATTGTCAGGATTTAATTTTGTCTTTGCTATTGCTGCAGTTGCATATCCAGCACAGGAAATGAGGTTTTTCTAGCCTCAGTTATGACTGTAGCCATAAAAAAAAAAAAAAAAGCAGTTTCTGTGCAATTGAAAATTTTCAACTGTTCTTAATGATTCAGAAATTACCATAATATAGTGCATTGGAGTGCTCCCACTACCACTATTTTCGTACCTTTTTTTTTTTTTTTAATTCATCAACAATTTTTCACTAACAGTTCCTTTTAAGTCTTGCAAAGCAAAAGGTGTTTGAGCATTTTTTTTTTTTTTTTTTGATAGAAGGACCCTATCAACCATTACTACTTGCTGTGCAGTAAGTTGGCCACATACCTAATTTCTATGATTATAGATTTAAAAAATGCCCTTGAACCATTCTGGAAGGCTAGTGTCAATTTTAGTGGACTCAGGTTTGACTATATTGTATTCTATTAGCTGGTCTCTGTGTGCTAAAAAGAAGTTGGTAGTCAGAACCTGTCCCTAGCAGTGCGTATGAAGAGGATAGATAGAAAGTAAATTGCTAATAAGTTTCCAGACAGACTTCAATCACTTAATAAAGGTGCAAATTAAAATGCAGTTAAAATCAACTATTTTCTAAGAGGGAATTGGGAATATTAATTCAGAGATGCAAAACCTTTATATTTTGAATAAAAAGACAAAAGGCAGTTACAAGCAATTTAAAATCAACTCACTTGACTGTTAGAGGATTTATCATGTTTTAGGATGAATAAAGGTGCAAAGTTGGAAATATGATTACACCTGCATAGCGATTAGTTATAAGGTTGTTTTAAGAAAAGTCTCTTTTCTAATCAATGTATGATCTTGGAAATAGTGTAAGGCTTTTCATCCCATTCATTGTAGAAGTATCCATGTGGGGGTGCAAAAATCTGTGTAGAGCTGGTCTAAAGATTTCATAAATAAAGTTAAATTGTAAAGAAATTAAATAGATTAGGTTAGAAATACATTTGGAATAACAGTGTACCACTACAAATAGAAAAAGTTGTAAGATTGAGGTTTTTCTAGTTTCTCCCAGAAAGTGGACTTTCTTCTTCCTTCTCCTTCTGGATCCTTTTTTGCAAAAATGTTGTCTTGAGCAAGTTTTTTCCCTGAATTAATATTTTTTTTTTTTTAGTAGGGCTTCCTGGCTAGTTTTCTTCTGGCTTTCCTTGTAGAAGAGGGGTAAGGAGAGCTGTTGCTTCATAGGAGTGGTCTTCAGTAATAGCAAAGTCTTGATTTCCTGCTTCTTGTTAATCACAAAACAAAGAATCTGGAAGTGTAATGGAGTGGAAATCGGGAATAAGAAAATCTTTGATTTTCCCTTTGGGAGGCTTCACTCATTAGATAAGTTAAGCCACAGTCCAAAAGTCACTGTTAAAACTTCTTTGTTAGTTTGTGTGGCCTTTAGAAAAGAATAACGCTTTCTTTTGGTTTTGGGTAATAGTCTTCAGAAATGTATTACTTTTCATAATTACATAACTCCTTCACTCATCTTCGTGCTTATGCAGCATGCTAACTCTTTTGAATCTCTTCTGGCATCCTGAATTTCTGTGTAGTCAAAGGCCTTGCATTTTGCTTTGTTTCATCATATGTTTGGAAGTGCTGATTGTGGCTTCATTTAGTTGCATATAAATTGATGTATTTTTTTTGTCTTTGAAGGTCACATGCAAAAGGGAGGGTTAGTCGTGAGTGTTTGCACTTGTTTTTTTGGTATATGAAATTGTGAAGTCTTGTTCATGACTGGAAACTGAAAAATTATTTCTTTTTAGCTTATATATATTTTAATTTTAGTATAGAAGTTTTATTTGTTTTAGAAGTGAAGGTTTCATTGCACTGTAATGAAAGCCTAATGGTTACAATATCTATATATTGCCTTTTTTGCCTGAAAGAGGAGAAAATTCTGAGATTTTTAGTTCTTCTATTTTTTAGTTGCTGAACTTTGAAGATGGGAGAGGTTTTTATAGGTAGCTCAGTAAACACACTGCTGGATGTCTGTGGTTGTCTTCAACTTGATGCCTAGTTATGGGTAATGCAGGGTTAGAGGGCTGATTTAGCTGGATTTAGGAAATCTTATGCCACTTAATATGTTTCAGTGAAATCAGTGAACAGCATATATAAAACACACAGTTGCTGAGAAGGTAACTATGGTTTTTATAGTCTGAATTACTCATCAGCATACGGAAGTTTCGTCTGTTTTGTGTTTCTGATGTCAAAATACTTGTTTATTTTTCACATGATGTAACCAAGAAAATTTTCAGAGTATCTATTAGTTACCAGTGGGACTTGTAGAAAAACATACGGTACTATATGATAATGTTCTTTCTTCAATTCACTGAAAAGATTTTTAGCTTGATAACTGTCAAAATTTTCAGGGAAAATAAAATATTGTTTTGTAATTATGCTCTGTATTCTGAATAAGGGTTGTATATGTTCTTTTGAGTAACTTCTGTGAATTATTATGACTGTGCAATTAACCTATCTGATGAGAACTGGCTCAGTTTGCATTTAAAAAGTAAAGTTATATAGGAAATATATTATAGTATCTAAGTGTATGGGGGAAAAATGTTTGACTGGACCTCTGTAAGTTTTGTCAAGAGGTATCAGATAAAGACTTAACTATTATTTTTGTTCTGTTGCAGGGATTTCTCCAAAGTTAATATCCTGGTACCTGGTGCTGGGCTAGGTAGATTGGCGTGGGAAATAGCTATGCTCGGTTATGCTTGCCAAGGAAATGAATGGAGCCTCTTTATGCTCTTTTCTTCTAACTTTGTACTCAACAGGTACATAGCTTATGTTTTACTTGCTGATTGAAACCTGGAGAGGCAAAATTATAAATGGGAAAAACTTTAATAAGAAATTTCACAATGACAGATTTGTAAGTCCTAATACAGGACACACATAACCACTTTGTAGAATGTTTTAATGAAAAAAAAAATAGTGGGTTAAATGGGGGAGGGAAGCATTGTATCTGACTCAATAGAATTACAGCAGGAAGCATGGCTTTTAAGTTATGAGACTTAAAATCTCTACATTGTACCACAGATTTTTCTACATAATCTTGAATAGGTTTTATGATTTATTTCACACCTGTTCCTGTAAAATGCACACCTATCTCAGTCGTGTCAAATATGGACTAGTTAATATGTGCATGGTACTTAGTGGTAGTGACTAGTAACAGGAAACTTGTTAAAATATTACATTACATACTAAAATTTTAGGCACTGTTTCAACATGAAAGGCAACCACCAAAGCATGATGAACCACTTCCTAAGTAGCTAGAATAATATAGTTAATGATTCTGCAATTACAGCGAGGTACTAAATTTGAATGCAGTACATTTCACTTTATAGGTTTAACTTAGAGTGACATTACTGTATTTGGTGTTCTGTCACTTGCATTGGAAATTACTGGTTTCATAAGGAACTTGTTAGAAAGGAAAGAAGGCAGCAAATGCAGCTGATCTTTTTAAGAAGGAGGGTGGGACGACTATGTGTGATCAAGTATGAAAGAGGTCTGGGGGGTGTTTTGTTTCTTGGGGGCGTTGGTACCAGGTTCAGAGAGACAGAATTTGCCGGTTCATTCTTCAATCTGCAGTGGTACACCTTTGCTGAAAACACCTAAACTGTTGGCTTGAATGCTATACCAAGATGTTTTGGAGCCCTCTTTGTAGACTGATTGTCCATAGCAGCTGTGATGATCTTAAATCTATTATAGCTTACTGTTCACAAACAACAGGGAGGGAACACTGTTCTCCTGTATTATGGCTGCTGCATATCTGCTTGAAACCATAGTGGTCGGAGTGATGAAAATATATATTTGCTAGAGGTTTATTTGTTCTTATATTATTCTTAAATTACTCTCATCTGGTGGTGAAATTGCATATTACAGTTGAGCTGATCTAATGCCTTGCAGCTACTGAAAAGAGGTCACATTCTTTTTGTCCTTAGCTATACATCCCTGCTGGCTTTTACACTCTTTGGAACTTTTGAAAAATTATTCAAAGCATTATAGAAGTATTAATTTCTCATCTTAATGAGCACTGATCAGCTGTCACAGTGGTTCAGATCTGAAAGTTAACTTCACCCTCAAATATCTCTGACATGTTTTTTGTCTTCCTTAAATAATGAGTCTTTGGCCTATATATGGAATTCTCCTGAAGATCCATGCTTAGCTTATGATAGTAATTGTTCTTAGCATCTAATGCTCATGTGGTGTTTCCTATTTATAGAAGATATATAGCAAGGAGGTGTATATGCATTAGACTTGTTAATGATCTTAGATTTTAGACAGCAAAACTGAGTGTTGCTCAGATGCTGTAATCTTTATCTTTGCTGGGCAAGTTATCAGTTACAAGGTTCCTTGCTAGCATGAAAGAGAATACTGCTAACCTGACTGAATTTCAGTTAGTTCAACTGAAGTCTTAGCATTCCTTTATGCCACATCTAACTGTGGGCTTGGGATGTCTATTAGGAAGGCTTGGGGGACTTTGGGGATCTTCCGTTTTAGTTGTAAGTGGCTGTTCCCAGTTAGCTCTCTGAAATAGACATGTTTGCCTTCCTGGAACTGGAAGAAACAGTAATGATAAATATGAGCTGAAGATACCAGTTAAGGAAGAATGTTAGGAAAGAAGGATTTTGTGAATTAGTTTTTAACTGCAGTCTTAATGTAATTAATTTTAGTTTTCAGTTCATAAAAGTGTGAGGATTTTACTAACACATCCTTACAGTTTGGATATAAATTCTTTCTCCAACCTTGATTTATTTTTACGAAGACAAAGTACTGTCTTGGGTGTCAGGCCAACTACTACAGTGGGCTCCTAGATGTGGTACAGCAATTTAAGTCTTCTGTATACAGAATGGTATTTGCTGATATTTATGCATGTAAAAAAACTTTATTCTCTTAAACTGTAAACTTTTGTTACTATGAGTAAAGTGGCATAGCATGTTATGTAGAGAGTGTGTCAAGGTGTAACTGTGGTCACTGTAAGTATTTGAAATTAATTAGAGTGCATTATTCCGTTGAAGAAACTCTGATATGAAAACAAAATGACCCTGGAGTAGTTAAGTTACAATGGCTCCAAGGCTGCTGCCATCTCTGTATGGGAAATTGTGCTTCTTCTTGGGTATGGTTCTTCTTGCTGGTGTATTTTTTTCTAGTGTTTACATGAGTTCTGGATATAATGACAGATGGCAGAGGTGATCATTGATGATGTACAAACACACTTCATTTCTTGTACTTGTTGAAAGAGCAAAAACTGAAAAGCGTAATCTGTTTTCCTGCCTCTGGAAAGCATACCAAAATTTTCAGGCAGTCTAGAGCCACAAGACATATTGCTTCGCTTTCACATCTGACAGGAGGAGAAACAACACTAGGGTGGTATCTGTGTGGGGGAGACAGCAGCAGTTGGTTGCTGGCTTGCTGTTTTCTGCAGTTGGTGATTCCGAGCACAGGGTCAGTAGCCTTGGTTCAGCAGCCCTTCAGTAGTATTCAGTGATGAATATTTGAGAAAGTTCAGTTGAACTAATATAAAATCACTTTGTACACAGTCAGAGTAGAGCTAGTTTAAAAAAGTTTTAGTAAATACCAGTAGAATTCATGCTAATAATTAGCTAATCTTTACTTTCTGAAAATAATGTAATTTTAAATAAATCTTGACATTTTGAGAAGGCTGATTAATTGTAGTTGTTGCAAGTCTGTGGCTGCCTTCGGATGAAAATAGTTAAGCATTTTATCTTTAAATCAGTGGTCAAAAGTAAGATTTGACCTACCCATCTTTTTCCAGAATTGTCTTTTCAAATGAGTGTTGAACAGTAAATGCCCAGCCCCTATAGAAAACAGTGAAGTGTGCCACAGTTAAAGATGTTAGATTTTTATAACATAACTTTCATAATTCATCTTTTGTTGTGAGGAAGGAATTGTAAAGGACTGCAGTATTTAATTTTGAAGTATAAATTATAGAAGCTGGAAACAGAGGTTTTCAAGCTGGAATATCAAGAGGGATTAGTCTTTTATATTAAATTGGGAATTTCTTTTGGAACTCTTCAAAAGTCTACATGAATATACATTGCGCCAGAGAAATTAAAAATGCAGGGAGGGGGTATTCCCTTGTATCTCAGAAAAAAACCAAACCACTTTCTAGTCTACTTGGACCTTTTATTTTCTTTACACTGCTTTTGGGGAAATTGTCATTGGTAAAGAAAAATGTTCAGAGGATAATACAGATTGACTGGGAACATAATGAGAACGCTAGAACAGTTAACACACAACTTTTGTTGGCCAATGTAGGGTTTTTTGGTAGTTTGTTGTGGTTGAGGGTTTTGGGGGTTTTTATGTTTATTTTATTTTTTTTTAAAACCAAAACAGAAAATCCTTCTTTTTGCAGGAAAATATGCCCATGTTTTCAGGGCTTTTTCCCTTCTTTTCTTCCTTTGCATATCTGATGTTTTTTATTCCTTATAAATGGAAATAGTTGATGAGCACAGGATACTGGTGCTCAGTTACAGGTTGATTTGCTATTTTTTTTTTAATGGATAAAATTAAATATAAATATGACATGAAGAAAGTAAAAAAATGTTGTTTCAAAGACTTCATCACAGATGCTTTCTATCCACCAGCCAAAAGAGTCCACTTTCTATAACCTGGTAGATTGCTTGCAGTTTATGAAGTGTTTCATGATATGTGTTTTATTGGACAAATGTGTCCTCTGTTGTCCCTGAAAGAAAATGGCTTCATTTTTTTTTAATTAGAAACTGATTTTACTGTGCGAAAAACTGCTTTTTATACTTTAATGCTGTATTTTATCAGTTTTTAAAATAAGAGTTGACTTAGTTGATCATGTCAACCCACAAATTTTATTTTATAAAGACATGTTCGCTTAACATAATTAGAACACTCCAGATGTTACTACCTTAAAATGACATCTAGTGCAAAACTACTACTCTTTGCAAAGTGGAATTTGTTTATTTTTTGAAATCTAAAGGCATCCTTCCTGTTAGCATCTGAAAAGTGTTTTTGTTCTGCTGTACTTCAAAACCCCTATGATTATGGTTCAGGAAAGACAGAAAAGTCTAGAATGAGAACAAATGTTTCCAATAAAATTCATTGAACTAATGTTAACTATTACTTTTTTTTAATAGAAAACTATGATCAAAAAAGGCTTATATTTACTGAATATACAAAACCATAAATGTCATTAATTTTACAAAAGAATCTTACATATTTTTTTTCAGTGGATAAATAAGTTGGGAGAAATGGTAAAAAATAGAAAAATAAAATTTTTAAATTAAAGGCAATTATTTTGTGATGATAAATTGTGTCTCAGAATAAAACTATTTTTTTGATAATTCATAAATTGACGAGCAGTGTAAAGTGTTATGAAGTAGATAAAAGTCCTTTAAAAAATGTGTAGCCTTTACAAGAACTTTATCAACAAAACAATGGATGTTGGTGAAAGTCTTTGACTCCTACATTTCTAGATAATAGATAAGCAATTAGTTGAAACTGAATTGTGCCAATTTCCATATTTTGCAGATGCTCCAAAATTAACTCACATAAGCTTTATCCCTGGATTCATCAGTTTAGCAATAATAGAAGATCTGCTGATCAGATACGTCCAATTTATTTTCCTGATGTTGATCCTCACAGCCTTCCTTCTGGTTCAAACTTTTCTATGACAGCAGGGGATTTTCAAGAAATATATTCAGAGTGCAGTGAGTAAATGCAAACTGCTAGGCTATCCATGTAACTGTATTTTCAGAGTATTTGTTATGATGATTACAAATAAGAGAGCTGTGTCTATAAGCATTAAGCAAAAAGTACTGATTAGCAAGATTTTATTATGCCAGACCAGCTTTTCTTAGTTATAAAAATTATGGACACCTTGCCTAACAGGTCTTTGTTGCAGTAGTCTCTTTCAGAATAAGACAGCATAGTAGTATTATGTAAAGGCTTAGTTGATGTAGAAAAGTGATACAAAGGGAACAATGTAACTAGGCACTTCTTTAGTGTAAAAAGTAGAAATATGAATATTTTTTTGTTGATTCATTTTCTGTTGTAAAAGCAAAGCAAACTATATCAGTAGTAGTAAATTATAAATGGAAAAAATATATACTTATTGACTGTCAATAGTAAATATTTCAGAGGCACGTTATGGGGATGATAATTACCAAAGGTTGAGGCTTCTAGTAGTACAAATAACCTTATTTTTTCTTGCGATATTTTTTCTTATGATATTATTCAGTGCCTACTCTACCAATTACAAATTTAGGATTTGATCAAGGTAACACCCAGTTCTTTTATATGTAGTCTAATATTCTAACATATGCCTATTTAGAAGTCACTATTTTTTAAATTACACAGTATTGGGTTATCACCTCAGACATCTATTTTCTGTTTCCACCTTTCTGTCCCTACTAGACCCATAACCACTTTTCACCAGGATTATATAGCTGTTGATCTGCCATTTCTTGTGCAGCTAGACTTCCAGATACCTTCTTGCAGGAGCCTTCCTTATAATTGGTTAATTTTCTGAAGGTTCTGTTTTACATTAAAACATCCGATACTGGCATAAATTGAGACTTTTATTTTTTTTATTTATAGAACTTAAAACTTTTGCAATTTCATGGATACATGTGTAGAGAAAAACAGGGCGACTCATGCTTTAAAAGGTAGACTTTGAAAGATCCTGCTTGTTAAATTAACTAGTGGAGAACAGCTGGAGAAATATTCAGATACTGAATAAAATGTGATTTGTGAAAGTACCCTTTAGTTGTACAGACTTGTATTGTTCCGGATATTAACTAGAGAGGTTCAAAATCACTGGGTATTTCTGCAGTTGTATTTTTAACAGTTATGGTAATGAAGTTCATAGGACAGGTGAGGTATAGCACGCTTGGGCATTCACTTATATAAAATGTGTTGTAATATTTACATTTTACAATATATGCTTTGAATATATTTTACATTATGTGAATATAACATGCATAAATATGTATAATGTTTTGGAGAGTGTATGTGTATATGCACACACAGGTATATATATAGGCCACATGAACTCAAACAACTGTTGTTAACATAGATCAAAATATTTTATTTACTTGTAAAGGAAATTAAAGAGCCTTCAACTCTTGTTAGTTGAAGCTAATCCTGAGTGTATAAAAAAATATTAGGGTTAAATGATGAACTTTTAAAGGGGTAGAAGCATTGAAACTAATCTCTGTATACTTTGCTCTTTTTTATGCAGATACATGGGACTGCATAGCAACTTGCTTTTTCATAGATACAGCACATAACGTTATTGATTACATTGATACTATATGGAAAATATTAAAGCCTGGAGGAATATGGATAAATGTAGGCAAGTGTAACCAACCTCTCTTCCTGCTCGCCCTGATTTATTGATCACATAACAGGCATCTAGTATTTGAAAAGAACAGTGGGGATGAATGTGTCTGTGCTGAAAACTCTGTAGAACTAGAAACGTCTAGGTCTTGGAAATTCTCAGATGTGTTCAGAATATGTCCAGATGTTTACAATCAAGTCAATACCATATGATTTTTAAATAGAAAAGTAAATCTTCCCAGTGGCAGGTTTTGCATTCGTGCATCAAGCATTTGTTATATGACAGATGTTGTGTCCTGTATTCTCCTTTGCTATTTTTCTAAGAAAACGGAACTTGTTCTGCAAACGCATCCTTGCTTTTTTTTTTTTTTTTAATCTGTTGTCTAATTTGTACTGTACTTCTAAGCAGAAGCTTTGGGAATAAGATTTATGTATGCCTTAGCTCAATGCAAAAGAGAATTTAAGTCTTCCATGGTGACAGAATGGCAGACAAAGCTCGGGAGTACAAACTGGTCAGTTGGTCACCAGACCAGTCCTGGCCAGTCATAGAATGCAAGCAGAGCTCCTGAGTAGACCACAGCATGTCCCACCTGCTGTTCTGTAGAGACAGCAGTAATGCTAGGCTGAAGAAATTTTAAGATCCAGAAACACAATCTGGTAGGAAATGAGACTTAATTGTTGAATAAGCAGCTGAAATAATCTGTCTTCGTTTTGCATTGATTCTGAAATTCGTTATAAAAATCATATGTGAATAATAGAAATACGTTCTTTTGTCTGTATTTGAATATGTGAGCCTGGATGTAAGCATTCTTGTACTTTCAGTATGTGCTTTTGATTTTTAAAACATTTTTGTCTTTTTGATAACCATTTCCATTGTATCTTTGTACTCTAGGTCCTCTCCTTTACCACTTTGAAAATTTAGGAAATGAACTTTCTATAGAATTAAGCTATGAGGATATAAAAAATGTTATACTGCAATATGGATTCCATATAGAGGTAAGAAGATGCTGTAGTTATAATAAGTAGTATTGTTATAAACCAGACAAACTGCTTTGAATAAACCTGTACCTTAAATTTAGTTCAACATAATGGCATATACTAGTAACGTCTAGGAGGACTAAAGGTTTGTAAGTGTTTTGCAAATTATTGACTTTACTGGGTTTTTAAAATGTTTAGAGGGGCCTCGAAATCTCGTAAGTATGTTGCAATTTCTTTCATATTAAGAGAAACATGTAGAGTTCTTGTAGCAGAGGTGTTTTGAAAACTGCTGCTCTTTTTTCAGGTGGAGAAAGAATCTGTACTGTCAACTTACACTGTGAATGAACTCTCCATGATGAAATACTACTATGAATGTGTGTTGTTTGTGGTGAGAAAACCAGAATAGAAGTGGTATGAACAGGTTAATCAGGAAAAAATGTTGGCTTGAAAGCTGGGAATGAGAACAAAATGGACTGGGTGATGTCTGGACACAACCTCAAATCAGTGGTGCCTTCTTACTCCTACTAGGATTTAGATAGTGTCTATTTTCTTAATATCTGTTGCTATCCAGACATGTTCTATGCCATGCATATTTGTAATATACTTGTGAAAATGGAGGAGGAAATTTTCACATACACAGTCTTTGTGCTTTGGAATGCATTAAAAATAAAAGCAAAAACTTTTTATTGAGAATAGAATTTAATGTTTGCCATAACTAGGCTGCTTCTCTGCATATGCTGCCTCATTTTTCATAGATTTAGAGTAATTTTCTTTTTTCTACTTTCTGATGTTAGGAATGCATAGAGGTGCTTACTTTACTAGCCTTGTCACATTTAGATAAGTATTTCTAAATGTATACTTAAAATACAAAGTGTGAAATGATTTGAAAGTGATAAAATTACTCTTGATAGATAGCCATCAGAGCTGTTAGAACATTTTCTGTGGAACTGAAATGAAGTAGATTATTACACAAATTCTAATCTTTGACTGCACCACTGTTAACAATTTAATCAAAATACAGAACGTATAGGCAGTTTGAAATACTATGTGAAAGCAGAGTCCTGAGTGATGAAAAAGTAGCATGTCACAGAGGAGCAGAGTATGTTAACCTCCGTTCAGGAATAACACAAATTGTTATTAATCTCTTCATGCTGAAAATGAAATATGTAAGATTCTTTGTCATCTTAAAAGAGATTGATTTTTAAGTCACTTATTTACTGCTTAAGCCAAAACAGTGAATCAGTATTTTTTATTAAACATACTTAACAGGAAGTTGTTGTACCTTGAGATTTTCCTAGTTTTTTGGATTTTACAGCAGCTGAGTTTCCCAGACCATGTGTAGGTAGTGCAACAGTTACGCGTAAATAATACCTGCTGTATACCTAATCACCTCTACCTGAGTCAGCATATGTAGGCCAGTTGGTAGACAATTTCCTTGTAATTTCAGGCACTTTACATTTGTGACTTAGGGACTTCTTGGTTCCTTATCCTTATGTTTTTTGGGTTTTTTTCCTGGCAGATGTGGCTTAGGTGAGTATTTAGTCTACAAATCATACTATACAAGAGGCTGAATCCTCCGTCGCTTAGAAGTTACGTACATGAGAAAACATGAACTAATAATTACTGTGCTGATAGGAGGTGTCATGTTAGCCATTTTGTTTTCTTAATATATTGATTACCTTTGTTAGCATTTTAATACATTTTCAAAAATGTGTTACAAAAACATTATGATAAGGAATCAAGGGGTTTTTCATACTTGGGCATAATGGCACTGGACAATAGCTTGCTTGATTCCCATTCTTTCTATCTATTTCTAGATAGAAATGTTTCCCATTATTTCTATTTATTATTTCCATCCCTTTTTTCATGGTGATGGCCTAATCACATTTCTTTAATAGATCTGTTACTGGCTTTTGGATTTTTCCCATTGCGGCCAGAAATTTGTGCCTTTGTTCCTAAATTCTGCAAGAAAGTCTTCAAGGAGGAAAACACAAACTTTTTTTATGGTTTCAACGCTGCATAAGAGAGTGCGTGCCGGAGTGTGTTTCAGTAGTGTGCATCTTTCTGCTTGGAATCCTTATTGAGAGTAAAGTTTTCTCATCTACCTAAGTTTTCAGTTAGCACTTTGCTTAAACTAGTCTTCTTTGAACTCTCTCTTTTTCCTGAAAGTGCACCACCAAGATTTAGCTCCATAAATGAACTGCCAAAGTTCTACCCTGCTTCAAGAAAAATCTGTTTAAAGCTGAAGCACTGCCTTTGCAACAAGTAGATTAAAAATAAACTCATACGCACACCTAAAAATAAAAAAACCCATTGCTTTAATTTCCTTGTTGCACTGTTTATTTTTTGAGGAACTTTGTGATTCTTTGCTTTCAGTCTGATATTTTTCGTTAGGTAGAATATGATTAGTATTTTGCTTGATTTTCAGGCTCCTTGAAATAGGAAAATCTAGGTGAATGTTGATTACACTGTTGCTCAGTAGTATATATATCTGTAATATTGCCCAATTTCTGCCTCCAAGCCAGTCTGTAGTTACACTTGAAATGTGGTGTTCCTGTTTTTCACAAACAGGACATTGAACTCTTGCTTTCTGGTTGAATGTCAGGACCCTTTGTTCTGGTGGTTTTGTTCTTTGCCATGCCACGTTGTCACAAGTGCCATTCTTTGTGTTGTGTTTAGAAAGTATGTTTTTATTTACTGTGATGCGCTTCTATTTTTAATCTAGAAAATGCCAGTTTTCTCTAATGTTTTCCTTTTAAATTGTACAGTTGCATTAAGAGCTGGAAGCAGAATAATCTTGTGAATAAGCTGTATGAGTTAATAGTGTTTTACCAGCAGTCCTATTTATGAGTTCCTAAAAATGCAAGTGGTGAATTTTATGCACGAGAATAATTGTGTATTACTGAATGTGATCACGTTCTTCTTTTCAGTTGTATAGCTGGGGGGGAAAAAACGCTTAAGGTGTTTACAGCCAAAGCCAAGACCATTTAATTTAGGTCACTATTACTACATACAGATTACCGGGTGTAAAATAAAATGCTGCATAATCTTCAGTGTAATACTTCTTTATATGTAATAACTTTGACAAACATAAAGTGTCCTGTACTTTTATTTATATGTAGTGCCCTCTAAATCAGTTACGAAGGAAAGAATGGGAAGTTTCGTGTCTCCGTGTGAACTTCCCCCGATTTTCAGTGTGTGTAATGAACGGGCTGTTTTTTCCTGGGTATTAAAGTTTGCATTATGACTTGCTTTCGCTCATGTGTTTGATTCCGTCAGCCAGGCTGAGGTAAGATGTAGTTTCTGACTGCTTTTCCTAGCCCGGGCGCCCCAGTGCTGTCCGCGGGGTGCCGGCGCCGCGGGGGCGGGGCGGGGTGGGGACCGGGCTCCGCATCTCGCCGGTGGGCGGGGCCGAGCTCCGTGCACCGCCCCCAGTGGCCGCGGGGCGCGCATGCGCCCTCTGTCCGCGCGGCGGCGGTGCGTGCGTTGGCGGGGTCCGCGCGCTCCGCGCAGCCGGCGGCGCTCGGACCCCCCTCATGGCCAAGCGGCGCGCGGAGCCGCTGGTGTGTCACGTGCCCGTCAAGCGGCACCTGCGCGAGCCGCCGACCCCCGCAGCCGCGTCCGAGCGGCGGCCCCGGGGCGAAGCGGCGGGCGCCGGCCCCGCCGCCCCAAAGCGGAAGCTGGAGGAGGCGGAGGCGCCGCCGGGCAAGCGGCCCGGGCTGCGGGGCAGCAGCCCACGCGGGGAGCAGGGGGACGCGGGGGGCAGGCGGCGGCGGCGCGGCGGGCCCGCGGCGTCCCAGGAGGAGCGGACGGTGGAGGGGCGCGCCGGCGGCCGGGTCAAAGAGCGGGCCGCCGCCGCTGAGGTAACGGAGCGGGTCCGGGGCGGCGGGAGGTCTCCCGGGGAGGATGTTGCGGTGCCGCCGTGGGCGGGCCCGGGCACGTCGCCTCCGGGGAGAGAAAATCGTGGGCGGTATTGATGGCGGCGGAGGCGTTACCGCGGGGTCGCGACCTCGGCCCGCGAGTCCCCCGGCCTCTGCCAGGCGCAGCACGGCGCTCTGTGCCCCGCAGCCTCTTCCGTGCTAGTCGGCCGTGGGCCTCCTGAAGGCTATTTTTTTTCTTTATTTTTTCTTCTCCCGAAGCAAAAGAAGTAACATTTCTAGCTTGCTTCACACACGCCCCCGAAAAACAGAGGGAAAACAAACCGTCTGGAGTTTGACTTAAGTCCATCTTTAGCCACATCCCCATCCAAAAGTATGGTGGAAACTTGAAGAGTTTATTTTGATAGCATCTCTGTTGCTTGAGGTTGTCGGTCAGGCTTACTACAGTATCTGACAGCTTTGTTTCTTGACTTTGTTCAGGATGGCCATTTAGTAGTGATACCACAGCTATCTTTAACCGAAATGTCTATGGAAGGCGGGCATCAAGGCAAGGGGATCAGTTATTTAACAGTCAGGACGTACTGAAATGCACAGTTGACTTCTGACATTTCTGGTTAACTTTGAACAATGTAGATTCTTCATCCTGGCCTTGACCACAGTTTGTACAATAGGCCAGAAAACAAAATAAGGTACTAAGAAAGTTTTAGTTTTGCGAAAATAAAATGGTAGGTCAAATTTCATGCCTATCTAGAAGTTTGATATATGTAAAGTCACATTTTCTTCCACCTGGATCTTTTCAGTAGGACCAAAGTATTTGATCCAGTTACATGGAAGTGGCAGAAAGTCTAATCAGGTCAGATGGACTTTGGACTCCATTTTTACACTGGTTTTGAAAAGTTGGGGCCTTTGATAGTACAATAGCCATCTGTGATCTGTAAAGAAAATTCGCGGTTGGTTGGTTGGCTGGGTTGTGTGGGTTTTTTTTTGTGACAGTAGAATTAAGGCACAAAAAAACTGAGGAAAAAACCCCTGTGTTCTGTGGAAATTGTACATCCTTTTTAGGCTGTGCCTTTTAAACACAAGCATATCTTTCATTTTTGAAGAGAATTAGCATCTTCTGAAGCAAAGCAAATTAAACAAATCGAGCGAACCTCTACAGAACAGTTTTACTCCATCGTAAATATGGTGCTGAGTTCTTTACTTATCCCTAGGGCTATTGGACATAGTGTTGTAAGCTTTATCAATGGTAGGAAGGCAGTAAGCCTCTTGAATTTCCACACAGTGAAGGGTATTTCTTTATATAAAGTATTTTTGCAGGACTGTATTTTTAACAGGTTGTTTCCCCAATTACAGTATTGTATAAAAAATATTGTCGCTTTAAAATAAAGCTTGGTTAATGGCAGACAAGAGATGTTTCTTCCACCTTCTGTGTGTCCTACCTGTATGTTTTAAATCTTTCACAGACATATTTCTGATGATGATTTTTACACCTTTCTGAAAATACAGTCATAGGTTGAGATTATTCTTTGCTGTTTTGTGGCTTGCGTAGTTCATTACAGTAATAAGCATGATCAGGATACTGTTAATTTCACACTTATTGTTAAAATTAAGAGCAATTCCAGTTAAATTACAGTTGGCTAGAGAAGAAATAATATTTTTGTAATTTGCAAGCACACCTTTGCAACTAGAGTTGGAAAGTTAACGCTTTGAAAATTAAACAACTTCATCCATAGAAACTGAGCTTTTGTATCTCTAAGCTTGTTGCATGTTACCTACCTTGCTAGAATTTCTTCTCAAAGCCTATGTTGAAAGATATTTAGGTGACTGTAAATATTTGATATTTTATTTTGCATTGTATGTATGAATGTTTAGTGTTTGTGCCTGTCTTTTGTGCTCCTTGGATTTGCTCATTTTCACACTGAATCTTTCTGGGAGGTAGCAATAAACTGAAGTACTGCTGCTTTGGAGACTTCAATGCTCTTGAGACTAATCCTCTATGTGGTCCAAGTCCAAAATTGAGGGTATGCATATTTTTGTGATTATGAAGTTTTAGATTATCTCTTTGAAACAAGAATGCTGTCATTTACTCTGTGCATACAAAGCACCTAACACAGGGGTGTTCTGACTTTAAGGACTTAGCTCTCACGATGTGAGCAGTAACTTGTTAAAATATAAGGGAAGTTCAGATTAGACATGGGGAGAATTTGTAAGGGTACCTGACAGTTTCTGCAACTGTGTTGCTGGAGACTTTTTTCAAAGAACTTGTTAGCCACCTGCCTTCCACAGTTCTCTGTGAGTGATTCTGCCTAGGTTGGAATATGGACTGGAAAATCTTCCCTTTCACGCTTTGTTTTTTGTTGTTAATGTAGTAGAAGAATTTCTGTTTGCAAGAATATTTATGCAAATGTGTGCAACTGCTTATAGTTTGGCTTTCTTCCACTTTCCATATGATCAGTCCTTTTCTTCCTATGGCACTGTATTATTGAACTGGTTTTGGTCTCAATTCCCATTAACAGGAACGTGGTTTTTTTATATTTTCCCTGAAGACAAGATGTTCTTAGTGAGCAAATTCATGTTAGCAGTACTCTACAGGCACAGAGCCATCTTGCTGCTATGAAATGTCTACGCTTTTCATGCTTCTCTTAATAATTACAGGTCTTGAACAGTGTAATAGTTTTGTAGTTAAAACAGGTTTCCTAGTACAACAAATTGTAATGCACTAGAGTTTTGTGGGTAACAAATAGAAAAATGTATTATTTAAATTGAAAGTATGGTGAATTTACATACTTCTGTCTTTTGGGGAGGCAGGGGAAGTATAATTTTTCTAGTATCTGAGATGGTTTAGGGACAATATTTACTGCATTTTTTTGAACATCACATTTTCTTACTCTGTTGCAGAGCCAGCAGATAAAGCATGACGTTTTTCAAGAGCCGTACCAAAATGGTTATACCAGTTTATTTGTTAAAAAGTACTTCTGTTCGGCACCTGTTACAGCTGAGACATTAAAGTAAAATATTTTTAAATTCTCATTGTATGTTAGGAAAAATGCAAACCAGTATTATATGGAAATGCATTACTTTAGGTTTGTGGCAGCATTCAGTGTTTTTTACATACCAGAAGAAAGTACACGCTCAAAACCTAAGAAATGATTTGAGAATTCCTCTTCTTACATGTATCATGGCCACAGAAACATGCATGGATTGGTCAGTGTTTATAACCACACCATAAACAGTGTATTTTCTAACAGATTTTAAAAAAAAAAAAAAAAAAAAAAAGTAAACTTGTGGTGCCATACTAAAGTAGTAGGTAAGTACGTATTCCCCCAGGGTTTTTCTGGTACTACTTAGCAGTTCTTAGACTTTGCCTTCCCTGCCCCTAGAAGAGGACTTCATTTTTCTCATGTATACTTGAGTGTGAAAAGTAGATACAGAAAAGAAGAAATGGAATGTGGTAGAAACACTACACAATGCTTTACTTTTCCTGCAAGTATCATCCTCTGAGTTGATGTAAAATAGCTAAATACATTCTTCTGAATACCAGCTTCTAAATGTGTAATACAAAAATAAATAATGATTTGGTTGAGATTTTCTATGGTGTTTTCCTTAGAAATAGCTCATATTTTTTCTGTGTAAAATGGCTGTTAATATGGAACAGCGGAGTAACTCTTCCTTGTTTCATTTTCTTTGATAGAAGTTTATTATTCTGTACTGCTGTGATACACATTAATGTTTTGTTTATTTGTCTCTTTTCAAAGCAAGAAGAATTCTGTCAGTATAACTCATTCCTGTATTGGAGAGCACCACTGCCTACTATTGATTTGTCTGATATTCAGAACCTGGATGGAGAGACTCCACCAGAAGCTAAAACTCCTTCAAAGACTGATACCATGGAGACTGAAATGGAGACGTGATCAACTGTTTCATAGTTGTACATCTGCTCGCAGGAAACTCGTTTCCATTTGGATTCAGATTTTTCTACTTGGGAGAAGAATAAGCGTGCTTCTGCCTTCTTGAAGAAACAGTGTTCTGTCAGTCTGAAAAAGCAAGTCTGAGTTGTCTAAGTGGATGGGATAATAACTCATATTAGGTACTTAATAGTAAGCTTTCTGGAGGTGTACAGTGTGGAGGAGTCTATGATGTCTAGCAAGGATGCTTGAAAACATGGAGGCAGTCTAAAAGAAGACTACAGAAATTGAGAACTTTGGGATGCAATTAAAAGAAATGGGTGGATATGTTACATGGCAAAAGGAAATGGAGAATCATTTTACCTGTCCTGAATAGAAAGATGTAGCTGTGGTATCTGAAAGCGAAATATTTATCTTCTGAATTTCATCATAAGACACATAAACTGTAGTGATTTTTAGTGGGTTTTTTCCAAGTGATAGCTAAACTGAAAAATAAGAGCCTACCAAAATCAGACACAACATTCCCGTTTCTATGCAAACCAAAAACAAGTGTGTCAGGGAGAGGGAAGGAAAAGGGGATATTTTCTTCTGTAAGCTGCCAATGTTTTGAAAGTTTTTCACATTCTCCTTGTGAAAACGTTTTTTCACCTTCTCCTTTTCACATTACCCAAAGCAGTAGGCAGCCAGCTTTTAGGTTTTTGGTCCGTTCTCAAATTAATGCTATTCTTATCTTTGTGATGTTAAGCCCTGAACCAGTCGGTAGCATCGAAATGACAGGTGTTTGCAGATACATCAAGAAAACTTAATGCAATATAAAATTGCCACATACACTTTTTCAAACTTAACTGAGGTGTAGTTTTTGCACACTGTAGATCTTGAGAAAAAATTTTTACAGAAGTTCATTGAGTTTGGGTTTTTTTGATGTGAAATATGAACTTAATACTTGTCATTTGTAATTTATTTACCAGTTGAAGTACAATTAAAAATACTTGTCTTTAATAATAGATGCTGAAGTTGTATGGGTAGAATGTCAGACTTTGCAAATGTGATTTGTCTTTAAGGACAGCAAACACTGTATTTTTGTTGAAATCACCATTGAAGAAAGCAGCTTGTGAATTTTTTTTTTTTTTTTTTTTTTTTTAGTATGTGTTTGCTGAAGGACAATGAAGTTTTGTCTGTGTGTATTTGAAAACTTTGGGGCTATTACTGTGTGAAGTTCTGACTTTATTTCTTAAGTTTGTTGCTTCTATAATTTTGTCATTTTATTAGATCTTTTTGCTTAAAATAGCTTGTCAGCCCTCGTACTGAAATAAATTTTGAAAATGTTTACTATTTGTGCTATAAGGTATCTGTATTTGTTCATCGCTCACTCATGTAGATTGTTAGGGTCTCTTAGTACACACAGAACAAAGGAGGTGACTTAGTGACTGACGCATTTCATGGTGCTTGTTTGGGTATGCTTCTACCTGATGTCAGATTAGCTGAATACATATTTAAGCAATATTTATTTTTCTCACATGGTTTTAATTACATTTCTTAAGTCCAAATACATGAACTTGTTTTAGGAGGTGCTTTTAAAATGTTTTTTAAAACAAACTCATTTTTTGGCAAGAATGCAACTGCTATTTCATGTTTACTATAACCAAAATAAGTTAGTGAGGAAATAGATTTATTAATTTGTTGAAGGATTAGGTTTGTTGTTGGGTTTGTGTTTTTGTTTGGTTGGCTGTTTTTCACCCTAGATAATATACGCGTTCATATATTTGTGGTTTTCATAATGTTTCACATGAACCAGTATTTTGCATTATTAGCTAGTATCTTTGCAGACATACTTTATTCACTTAAAATCTGCTTGGAGCTTTATACACTGTAGGTATGTCCTAGTGATAGACTGCATTTTAGCATTAAGATTTCTCTCTCCACTCTATTAACAGGACAGAAGAGGTTTTATTACCGTCTTTAAATTGTATATTTGAGCTATTCCCTAACAAAATAATAAGCCCTTTGAAGCAAATTAAACTTTCGCTGTGTTATAGTCCATATGTTTACTTTATTTGCAGTTAGGCTGTAGACAAGCACTTTGCTCTTACCTTGTTCCCTTTGTGAGCTCTGGGTTAAGGGCTGGAATGTTATGGCTACTTTCAAAGCACTTCCAGAGCTGATTAATTTTTTCCATTCATGTGTTTGCAAATTGAGACAAATTTAAAAGTCTTGGAAAACTTTTTGAAATGAAACTGTTAGGGTTAAAGAAAAGGCTGGGCAAGTTAAGGGGGTGTGATCATAGATTACATAAACTTTGCATTAGAGATGCCAAAGGGATAACCAAGACATGTCACTGCTCAGTGTTTGGTGTCTCCAGATACCGTATGTCACTGTGTGCTACCAAAACACTGGTATTGACTTCTGATTCCATTTTTCTAGAGATCTCTTGTTCAAGCGCTGAACATAAAATATAAGTAAGCTTAAGATGTTTTAATTTGCATGTGCATTCATATCCAGCGAGAAGAAAATGTTCTTTTGAAATAAAAATGTCGGCACAAGTTCTAAGGCAGCTCAGGAGTAGCATAATACCTACCAACTGATGATCTTCATTTGATAAACTTTCAGAAAAATATGTTTATATTCTCTCTAGGTAATTGGGAGCTGGCTTTTCTCTAAAATGTTACTCTTTAAAAGGAAGAACCACTGTCACAAGGGTAAGAAAATGCACAGTGTAACCACAAAGGTCGTGTAGGTATTACCAAGGTTGATAAGGCTGTTGCATCTGGAAGTAGCACAGTAGGAGTATGGGCATACTAATGAGAAGTGGAACGCTGGAGTTAAACATGTTTCAGAACAGATCTAAACAGCATAGTACTACCCCGTATGTCAGCCTTCTTAAATTTTCTGTCTCATTCTAAACTGAAGGCCTGTTTTATATGGTCTGATTTGTGTTTGTTGAAGGCCTGCACTATATTTATGGTTCCCAAGATAGATAAGCCTTCAGGAGAAACCTAAAGCTTGGTTCCAGTCAGGAAAGTGAAGAACTACTATGAAGAACAAGCTGCGTTAATGACCACGTCTTGGGTAAGTAGACTGGTAGAAAGAAGAAAAAGGGGAATGGAAGATAGGTGATGATGAAAAAGTAGCATAGCAAATGAGTGCAGGCAGAGTGGGCCCGCAGAGCAATGACATGAAGTAATGTTTTCAGCGTTGGCTCCACCTTCAGCAAAGCAGCATTTACAATAATTTGAATATGGTGATCAACAGTAAATTTATTAGTCTTTTCACTGTTTTGACAGTTACTGCTTGATATTTTTTTTCCTGTTGGCAGGGCGGGGAATTTGATGGGCATTTAAAAAGTACACACTTGTGTATATGGGTAGTTGAAAAATACACGGGATCCTTTGTGTAGAAAGTAAGAGTGTGCAAATGTTTGTTTCCAGGTGGCACCAAAGATAATTACTGTCCAGCATTTGGCAGCTGGTTCCGATTAGGGCAGATTTTATTGTGAGGAATTCATGTGTATTTTTGTGAAAGCATCTGGTGACAGCTACAATAAGAGATGTTGGATAGAATGCATGGACTCATTGTTTGGTATAGCAAAGCTTATGTTCAAAGAAGCATTTCAAAATAGCTGGTGTGCTTGGGTTGGCTTAATTATGTCCATGCCTACAGTTATAACCTTGACTCTCTAGGTGGCAATACACATACACAGTAAACTACAGTGGAACTGGAAAATGTTTGGGGTATGCTTTTATTCTGAACTGCTACTGAAAATTCAGGCAGTGACATCATGAATGTTAATCATTTCCTTACTGTGATACATAAATAAAGGCAGATCAAGCCACAAGTTCCTGATTATAAGGTGACACAAGGTCTTCAGCATAATTAGAGTAAAAACGTTGTGTTAAGAATTTTTGGTTTACCTCTTGTTTCCGTCTCCACCCCCACCCCACCAAAAAAAAAAAAAAAAGGAAAAAAGCTGTCAATGTAATACATGGGAATTTGTTGCCAGTGCTTTTCAGCACTGTTTCCATTAGTTAGAACTGGAAAGCAAGCTTTATCTGACCGTGTGTTGGATGGAAATCTCGGCTGGTGGCTGAAGGCTACTTGAAATGTACTTGTTAAATATGAGGAAGAAAGAGGTAAGTGCTAATTCAGAAGAAACTAACTCATGAAGTGTTTAAATGTTGGTGTATAGGTAACAATATATTTAAAATGTATGAGGAAATTTCAAGTAGGCTTGCTAAAAGGTCGCTTATTTAAAATTCCTATTTCATATTGTATTAGAGAATTTGGTGGTGATGCAGCAAATGGTACATTTTAATTATTGATATTTCATTTGTAAGTGAACTCAGCTATTAATGTTTTAAATGCTCTTGGTCAGAAAAACAGCATTGGTGACTTAGTCACTTCTCAGGACTTAAAAATCATTGTTCTTCTCTTAAAGCCACACAGATCATAACTTTTTCACTACTGAAGGAAAAAATAGTTTTCTTATTACTGATATATTACCATTCTTAGGGGAAAAAAATGTGAAAGTAGGATGGAGGCAAAGTCAATTTTTGTTTGTAATTTTATTTTGCTTTTAAGGACGATTGTGGTGGATGGTAAGTTTTCCTGGTTTTGTTTTGTCTTCTTTTATAGTAGTGAATTTTTGAAAGAAGGGATATGGACTGGCTAAACATTACATTTTTTTTTCTACTTTTCGTATATGAATACCCGGGGTTCATGTTTGGATTGGAATGTGATGAAATAAGTGCTTTACCAAGGCACTTGAGATTGAGAAAAGTAAACAAAAATAGTATTGTACTGTCTTCAATGAAGTGTAAGCCAGAGGAAAGGCTTTTTTCATGCAGAGCTATGAATGGAAATGAGTCACCTCTATTTACAAAATTCACCTGTGCAAGACCACAGTAATGTCCTTCATTTAAGCAGTACACAATGCTCTTTTAATTAAGTTGGAACACACGATAATTAATTCCATTGGATCTACCCTAAGTGTCAAATATCCTCTCTCTGAAGCCTGATGCTATATAGTGGATATTTCTATCTGATGCCTTAACTGGAATACAAAATTTGCTTTCAGATATAGAGATAGTAAAGACAGTTTTTCATTGCTTAAATTGAACCCATAAAAATAATTCTAAAGTATGATTGTTAAATATGGTATGATCTGAGAGGGAAAGGTATGGCTAACAAGTAAAAAATGTTTGTACTTAATAGTAGTATCAAACCTGCAACGTAATATCAAAATGCCTTAATTTCTATTACGTGGCAAGGCTTAGTGGAGAAATTAGGATAGTTTTGATATACAGTGTGTTTGTGTTTTCTCTTAGAGTCCATACATACAATGCACGTGTGCCCAAAGTGCTTTAAGGATGCATCTTGCTCAGTGGAGTCCCTTTGAGTTGAACAAATAGGTACTGAAAGTGCCTACTTGCCTACTTGTTTTTATGCCATCAAATAGCATAAAAGGTAGAATAGGCTTCCCATTATCTTCCTCCTTATCTTGAGGCATGAGACAGATTCTGGAAGCCACATTTCAGTGCATTCCTTTCTTCCCCATTCATGTTGTGCAGCTTATCAATGAATATCTTGGATTTGTCAGTGCTAACTACTCCAGTCTCAAATCATTTGGGGATTTTTGTTTTATCTTTGTTTGGGTAGTCTTTAATTATTGTGAGGCCAGAATTACTAATTTATGAAGACCAGTCATTTAAATAACGCGTTCAACAATCAAAACACTCAGATTCCTTAGACCATGTTGTGTGCTGATTACCAGTGTCTATCATTGACTTAAAAGAGTGATAAAAGTGCATTATTAGACTTTCAGTAAGGAAAATTAGAAACACTCTGCCTTTTACAGATCCAATTTTTAAGGTCTCTGTTTCAGTGGTATTGTTTTACTACAGGTTAAAGTAGTGGAATTTGATTTTTTTGAGATAAAATATTGTGACTTACAGTTCTCTAAATGCAGTGTACTCATGCTGTAGAAGATTTGTGCTTTCAGGACAGGTCACAGTAGTGAGCAGAAACTTGTGTTAGCATTTAGAAGAAGAGGTCCTTGTTTTTTTATCTTGAGTCTCAAGTAGTCAAGGAAACAATTAATAGTGGTTTTAGTGTGTTTTATCAAAAAAAAAAAAAAAAAGTTCTATCTGATCACATATTTCAAAAAAAAAAAAAATCAGTCACACCACTTTGAGCCAAGGATGCAACTAAAATCATTCTCTCTTCTAGATTGGTCAGTTTTTTCTCAGAGTAAATAGATAAGGTGTTTTCATCTGAGGTAAGTATTTAAGAGAATTATTTCAGTTGCCAGTGCTGATTTCTGTGATGTTGAAAACTACTATTTAAAAACACAAAGCAATTAGCCAACCCAGTGATATAAAAATTATTCAAAGTTTAAGACACTGTGTCATAGCAGAAAAATTGTTTTAGAAAGGGGTGACTGGTGCAGAGAAGAAATCTAAAATGAACTTCTTAATCTGCTGAATAGAAGTAAGCTTAAATTTACTTTGCTTTCTTCTTAGAAATGTAGGTACCTAAAGGTGAAACTTCCGCAGCCAGCAACAAACAGCCAAGTTAATCAGTCTGAAGGTTCATGATGCGGCATATTTCTGTCATGTAGTATGTGGTAGCTCCTCAAAACACAGCCTGAAAGCAATAGTCATCAGGACAGCCCCCTGCCTAGCTGGCACTAGCACCTCCGTGTTGCTCCACAGGGCTGCTGCCTGCGGTTCGGCATGGAGCGGTCAAGGGGGGGATGCCCTGCACACCGGGTCGGGCTGGAAGGGTGAATCCGTAGGGTCACTTTCCTCCTGTGCCGTGGCCTTGCCATCAGGCTGTGCCTGACGGGGAGCCCTTGCCCAAACCCCACAGTTGCTAGGACAGGCTGTGAAACCCAACATCTAAGTGTTTTGGACTTGCCTGCAGAGCAGTCAGCAATTCTATCTGAAAGGCACAGCATCACGTGAACTGGACGTGCCTTCGGCTGCTCCCAGCCCTTGGAAGACAGGCCTGGGACAATACTATTCTGTGTGAATCGGCCCATCTTCTTACACTGGATAATCTGGTGTTGTCTGAAGTCTTCTGTACAAACCTATTGCACTCTGAGAGCATGTGTACTTGACTGACACCCTCATACGTGTCTTCAGGTCTTCCTCTTGTCCCCAGACATGGGTCACTAAAGGACAGACTTCCTTCTTCCTTTGTGGAACGTGGTGCTCCCGTACATTCACTGCTGTTTAACCCATTTAGGTTAGTTCCAAATAAAGAGGTCATGTGGATAAGATTCTTTTTCTTTCAGCCTCAGGCAGGAAGTTTTTTGATTCCTTCCTTTCCTCTAAAGCTTGAAGCGTTTGCTTTGACTTGTCTCTGGGTGCGAATAGTAACACAAACCTCCGCCCTCCAGTCCTACTTTCTGTACAGTCACTGTGAGAAAGATACATTGTATCTGATATGAAAAAAAAAGGTGGGAAAGAAGAGATTTTGAAAATTGTTTTAAAATGAGGATTTGAAAGGTCTGGGGGTCACATCTGGAGATAGTCTTACTGAAGAACGCATATGCCTGTCATTTGACCCAGGCCAGGGAGCTGATGAGTCAGAGTTTGTATATTCTAGAAGTACTCGGAAAGATGACACGTTTGAAAAATCTATTAACAAATCTGAGGGATACAAGGAATGACAGAGAAAACTGAAGAGAGGCAGCATTCCCTGAGACTATTCTACAAAACTCTTAAGTCTTCTTATTCTGTGAAGCAGGGATTGTGTTAACACTCAAGAAAGCTACTTAGAAACTTAGAAAATTTTTAAGGTGTTACTGTTTAGCAACACGTACCATCTGAGGAGTCATCTAATACTGAGGTAAGAACATCAACTGAAGTGGTTATCCTTTGATCCTGCATCTTCCTCGTGTTTTTCTCCATGATTGTCACCCTACAAAAATACATTGTGCTTTTCCATCACTGTGAAGGGTTTATTCTCAAGAGATGGAGACTATTAAATATTAAAGCTGCCGAACACCCTCCTACACTGAGTCTTCTCAGGCCTTCTTCACTCATTTTACTACCTTTATTAAGAAAATTGAGTAACAGAGACCAGTGACACCATCTGAAATGTTATTTCCCAATCCTGGACTGTGATATCTTGCCTTAGGAAGCAGTATGCTGGTTTCCATGGGACTATCACTAGAGGCACAGAAACTATTCGTGGTTGTTGTGAGACTAAACTGTACCGTCACATTTTGTTCTTAGTGTCTTCACTGACTGAAAAGGTATTTACAAAATGCATTTTGGGAGAACTGATGGTTGGATATTTGTGACTGTGACCATCAAGCTGACAAAACCTACCCCACTACATTCCTGGCAAATCACAAACTCTAATAAAAACTTTTAAAATGTCAATTTTTCTCATAGAATAAATTCTTCAGACAGTCCTGGTGACTTGGAATAATTCTTCATGCAAATGCAATATCTGAACTATCTTGAAGGCTTCTGAGCCATGTTCAGATACCAGTAACTACTTGGTGCAACCACCGAATGATCTGATTAAAAAATACCAAAAGAATATGGGGCATCTGTGTTATAATTCAGTATTCAAGACTGTCTTCATTCTTGCCTCCTGTTGAAGCACATCTATCATGTGAACCAGTAGCTGATGGGAATTTATATGCCTGCCTGAGTTCTGTCATCCTTAACTTCAATCAAAAAAGCCAGTCTATTTACGATGAGGGAAGTCATGTTCTCCATGACTCGGAAAAGCATTTTTTGGGAGATCAGTGTCTCATATCACTGTGCATTGGGCAGCAAGAGGGAAGATCTACTACAGTCAGACCTGGAAAAATCATTGCATATTTTCATACTGTGAAATAAGCCCTAAAGTATGACTTAAGCTCACTCCAGGAGGTTGCCTCTACATACCCTAAGTTGAAGGGGAAGACCAAGGTGGGAGATTCTGTTCTGCTCTAGTCCAGAATCTGCATGGTAAAACAAGATTTAAGTTTTGCGCTATAAAGGAAAATAATTAGCCACTGTACCTTTCCACAGCATGCTCTAGCAGTAGCTGAAACAGTCACCATCTGATGCGTGTGTGTTCATTGTATCTGCTGCCAGCCTTTCGTGTTGGACTAATTTATGAGGCTTCT